CCAAGTGTCTCCTCAGGGCTCCGGTTGCAGGGAGGAGCCCTGACTGGCTGCACGTGGCTGCGCCAAATGCCGCGGCAGCAAGGGAGAAGGGAAAGCAACGGTGGCCCGAACCCGAAGGTCTCCCGAATATCCAAGCTGTCGCCGCCCGCCCACCCACCCGAGGATGCAAGGGGGGAGAATTAAGTCACCCCCCGAAAAGACGTCCTAGCCGTTTTTTCGGGGGTCAAAAAAAAATAAGGCCCGGCCTTATTATGTGAGAAACACAGTATCTATCTATCTATGTATCTATCTTATCTCTATCTCTATCTTTCGATCATCTATCATCTCTATCTCTATCTTTATATCTGTCTACCTACCTATCATCCATCCATCTATGTACCTACCTATCATCCATCCGTTTATCTCTCATCTATCTCTATCTATCTATCTATCTATCTATCTATCTATCTATCTATCTATCTATCTATCTATCTATCTATCTCTTTGCTTGTCTTGTGAACTACTGCTGTTACATTATGTACATGAATCATATAAGACAAAAATCCATTTAAGAATACTAAATAAATTACAAGCCTCTCTAATAGTCAAAAGACTAAGTTCCTCCGAAATATCACGAAATACTGTATTATTTCAAGGCAGATTCCTGTGCAGTAATGCACACATGTTCTGTCAGGCAGGAAGGTTCAATGAAGCTGATGTATTGCCTATGCACAGGAAATCTTTTCAAGGGACACCTAGTTAGAGTTAGATAAGAGTCAACAGGATTCAAAAGAGTCACTTGTGATGACATAGAGATTCTAGGCTGATCCCTCTTTTAATTCTGCCCTCCAGTTTTTGCCATTCCTTCTGCTACATGTTCTGAACTTGCAATCTTTTTCAACAAAGTTCCTCCTTCTCCTTGGACACTGAGAAAACCAAACCAGGAGGAGAACAGGGCCTTTTCAATTATAAAAAGCAGTGATGCCTTTAGGTTGAGCTTGGTGGGTTACCGTTGTCTTCTTCCAGGGTGTATTTTCAATTTCCCAGTCTAGCCAACACCTTTCTCTTCTTTTTCTAGTCAAGGAATAGCTGTTCTTGATTTTGTTTATTTTCTGAGTCCAGAGAAAAATGGACAGAGTCCTTTTACTTCCCGAGTAGTCCAAATACTAGCTTTAAAAAGTCAAACAATTCTTATTATAAGACACACAGAGTTGCACACTTCTTTTTTTTCCACTTCTAGACTTTGGTTTGCAGTGACACTCTGTGGCAGCAAGTAAGATCTATCGCAGGAATAAGGTAAACACATCTGCTGTTTTTTTTAGAATAGCTCACATATAGAAATATTACTCTCTTAAACTCTTAATTGTGTATCCGGCAGTACAATTTCAAGGGAACATAATGTCCAAGCTGATAGAGATAATTTCTGTCCCAGCCATAATAAGATCTATGATTGAACATTGCCGAGAATACATACCTGCTGTAATTAACTTTATTTCGAGAGAACATTGTGCATTTACCAGGCTATTTAAAAGGAAGTGCTTGTGTTTTCCCCAACCCCATTGCTTCAAACAGAAACTAAATGGCAGAGATTAACAAGCAAGAGGCAACTCTACAGAGACAGACTCACAAGGATGCAGATTAAATCATTTGGTGACCATCCCAAATAATTTCTCATTAGTGGGGAACCAAAAGACCTCCCAACAGCCAAAGAGTCCACAGAAGGAAAATAACAGTTTAGCTGCAATTAAAAAAAATATCCCTTTTTTAGAGAGAGAAAGAGGGAGAGAGCGTTTTTCTGCTTTGCTTTGCTTTGTTTTGCTTTCAACGTGGCTGAACACTGTAATAATTAAGTAGGGTTTATTCAGAATTTCACACTCTGCTAGCTAATGGACTCCAGCAATTGTGATCGTATTATGTCCCTGGCTCAGCTCATTTATATTCAGATGTCTGAAGAGTCAATATCAGTGACTGGCATTTGCTTAACAGCCAGCAATAATGAAAAGATAATAGAATCACAAGTCCATGAAAACAATCCTTCCATCCAGCCTTGCCATTTTGACAAGCCCCAAGATAATAGTTCCACTGGGCATTTCAATGTCTACGGAGATTCTCAGTCATCCAGGTCATGGCTGTCCCAAAGGTGTTTTTTGCAAGAGGCAATTGGGCTTTCTGGTTTTTCTCTGAAGATGTTTTGCTTCTCATCCAAGAAGCTTCTTCAGCTCTATAAAGGTAAAGATAAAGGTTCCCTTCACACATACATGCTAGTCATTTCTGGCTCTAGGGGGCGGTGCTTATCTCCATTTCAAAGCCGAAGAGCCAGCACTGTCTGAAGACGCCTCCGTGGTCATGTGGCCAGTATGACTAAATGCCAAAGCTGCACGGAACACTGTTAGGGACCAAAGGTATCCCTATTTTCCTACTTGCATTTTTATGTGCTTTCGCACTGCTAGGTTGGCAGAAGCTGGGACAAATAACGGGAACTCACTCCGTTACGCGGCGCTAGGGATTTGAACCACTGAACTGCTGACCTTTCTGATCGACAAGCTCAGCATCTTAGCCACTGAGCCACCACGTCCCTTCCCGAAGTTACTTTGTAGAAATTACAAAAGTGGTAAGAACTTCAAGAGATGAGGCAAGTAATGGAAGCTCACTCCATTATGCGGCGCTAGGGATTTGAACCGCCGAACTGCCAACCTTTCTGATCGACAAGCTCAACGTCTATAGAGTATAGCTAAATGTCTATGGAGATTCTCAGTCATCCAGGTTATGATTGTCCCAAAGATGCTTTGTCAAAAGGCAACTGGACCTTCTTACTATTCTTTGAAGACTTCTCACCAAAGAAGCTTCTTCAGCTCTGACTGGATGGTGGGAATAGAATAGGGATGTCAAACTCATGACCCATGGGCCAGATGCATTACATGCTGGCCCCACCCACACCTGGTTTAGCAAAGGGGAAAAAGTCCTGATACGACATGTGATGACACGAGGTTAACACCCCTGGAATAGAAGGATTTATACTCCTTGCAGACAGCTGGTCATTTGCATTCTTTTTAGAGAGTCACTGAGGCCACTTGGAGGTTCATCTATCTTCTGACGAGCAACGTCCAGGGGGAAGCCAGATTCATTTAGCAAACTTGTTACTAGTGTACAGCTAAATGTCTATAGAGAGTCTCAGTCATCCAGGTCATGGTTGTCCCAAAAGAGCTTTTTTGCAAGAGACAACTGGACTTTCTGGTTTTTCTTTGAAGACATTTCGCTTCTCATCCAAGAAGCTTCTTCAGCTCTCTTCAGATAGATAGTAAACTTATCCTATCCTATCCTATCTTATTTTATCCTAGAACTTCATATAGCCATTTCTGTATCGTACATCCTCCCTTTGCTCTTTTATAAGAAGAGGAACAAATCAACAGTCAACATGGCTACCTCCAAAAAAGGCATCAAGTATCTTTTGTGTTTCTTTGTGCAAAGGTATATGGGAAAAAGTAAAAACAATATGAATAGAGGTGGTATTCTGCAGGTTCTGACAAGTTCTGGAGAACCAGTAGCAGAAATTTTGAGTAGTTTGGAGAACCGGCAAATACCACTTCTGACTGGCCCTGCCCCCATCTATTCTCAGCCTCCCAAGTCCCAGCTGATCACCTGGATCTTCTTTTGTTGCCCTGCACAGGAGAATGGACCTGGAAAGCAGGTTAGTGGGGTGGGGAGGGAATGGGATTTTGCAGTAACCTTCCCCTAGGAGTGGGGTGGGAACGGAGATTTTGCGGTATCCTTCCCCTGCCACGCCCACCAAGCCAAGCCACGCCCACCTAGCCATGCTTACAGAACTGGTAGCAAAAAAATTTGAATCCCACCACTGAATATGAAGGTTCTTCAAACTGGGTTCAACCCC